AGCAGAAAAGACGAAGCTAAAAAAGAAAGATACAGTTACAATGGCGCCCGCCCAAAATTACAGTTACTTGCAAGATTAAGGGTGCCGACTAATCAGAGTTCCGTTGCAGCCGCAAAAAGAAGCGCGCAAGCAGAAGGCGTTGCGCGGCAAAAGGAAATCCTAAATTCCAAAATTCCAAAATTCCTACCTAATGCGAAAATGCAAAAAGCACAAATTCTGGAAGGAAAGTCCGAAGTTCCGAGAGCCGTCAAGGCTCGACAAGATTCAAAAAGAAAATTAAAAAAGAACGAAACAAAATTTCCGCGCGACCTCCGCGCCTAAAATCCGACAACAGAACAAGAAAGAAGTGACGTCAAACATTATTATTCGCGCCTTTGTCGGCGCGACAGCCACTCAATTGGCCATCTCGGGACTTGACCGGCCTTGAACCCAGCCATTCGAAAAGAAGTGACGAAAGAGAAAAGACGAAGAAGCGAGGACACCGATGCAATTTCCCTTCGATCCCGATCTCCCGTAGTTGGCCCAACCTTTCCATCTCAGGACCCCTCATTGTCGTCGCACAGAAAATCGCGCGGAACAGAAATTCGTTCGTCACAACCCAGCCCAGCAAAACCTGGCCCTGCTAATGAAATGGCCTATACAGGCAACGTTTGACAAATGCGGTAAATCCTGGGTAGCCTTCGCGGAGTTTATCCTCGTGGAAGAATGGGAACTATCCGATCCTTCTCACGTTTGGCTGTGTTTTTTCATAAAATCCTACTGCAACAGGCCACCAAAGTCAAGAATCTGGAGGTCCATCCTATCTGCATGGAACAGAAACAGACCTGTCTCTCTAGCGGAACCAGTGTCCAAAACCCAAATCCTCAACCAAATCCTGTTTGAGAATGTTTGGATAGACTGCCCAGGAGAGGGTCCCCTGAAGGCGGATAGCAGTCCGGGGTCTTTTGGCAGAGCTTGGATCGGTAAAGGGGTAATCCAAATCAAGGACATCTGGGACCCCCTAACCAACGCCTGGGTATCTGAGGAACAGTTGATGGCCAAACTCGCGAGGGTACAAAACCTGGCTCTGAACTTCAAGAAACTAAAAGAAGGGTTCCCTCCCCACTGGGCTTCGGCGCTCAATCAGGATGCAGAGTTCACCCCAGGATCCTGGCTAAAGGACCCGGATAACCAAGACACCTTCTGGAAGGTCCTGGGCCTGGATCTCAGACCAGGGACAAAGGCGCAGGTTTGGCACGCCAAGAGAAGTAACAATAAGATATCCACTTTGGAATATGTACAGGAGACCCTGGTACCCACGACTGTGGACTGTGAAGAAGTCAGAGTCCTCGAACACAAAAAGAACATGTCCAAAACATGCTCACTTCTCCCTATGAAATTAGAGGAGATCAAGATCGAGCCTCTACTTCATGGTTGGAACGCACTAAACCTCAGATCAACCGACCAGAGGCGGACACCAGGGAGGTCCCACTCCCTTGTTCGAGTACAAACCGTGCTGTGTTGTCAGAGGCCAAAGGGACAGGAAAAAGGAAAAACCAATTTTTACGGCATGGAAAGGTTAGCAGCAACGCAGCAGTCTACGGGTGACGACGTGGACCTGCTGACACTCTGGAAGACGCTAAAAAAGCTACCATCGCAGAGGACAGCATCCATTATGTGGCTACAATCTTTCCAAGTCACAGCCACGGCGGTCTGGCTGAAAGCCAAGGGTATGCAGATAGAGGAATCCTGTATCAGGTGTAACTGGGCATGGGAAAATGCCCCCCACCTGTGGAGGTTTTGCCCTGACTCAGAGGTGGTCTGGGAATGGTGGAAAGGGAGGTGGAAAGTGGTGGGCCTTCGGCCGGAAGAATGGTCGGACACTTTCATTTTATATGGAAAGCTCGAAAGCCCTGGTCCACTCACTCAGGGCCCAAATACATGGCCCACGCATGCAGAGGCATTATTCTCGAAGGAATCTGGGGGCGCCGGAACGAGCTCCTGTTCAAGGGTGAAAGGCACAACCACCAACAGATCTTCAACGGAATTCTGGCAGACCTCCGTATTACTATCATCGCAGACTGGCGCTCCAAGGGTGCGATCTGGTTCTCTAAGACTTGGGCACACAAGAATGCTTGTGCTACCATCGGTACGGATGGCAAGATGCAACTGGCAAATTGGCTCTCGGGGTAGGGATACCATACCCCTCGAGGCTTGGTCAGTTGCAGTTCAGTTCTTCAGATGTTGTTAGGAAAAGTAGAGGTTTTCCCTCCTGCTGTTTTCCACTTTATTGTTTGGACCCGGTTTCCAGCACAAGCCCAAGCTGGGTATTGGGCCCAGTTTTTCCTCCGGGTTGATATGTCGAGGTTTTCCCGGCCTCCCTTTTCACATTGGAAATAGAGCTACTTTTCCCCCACCAAAAAAAACAAAAAACAAAAAGAAACTATATCTACCGGACGATTCATTTTCATTCTCATTCTCATTTTGCAAATCTAGAGAGTAGTGGAGCGAGGCCCTACCTACACCTACATCGCGGGGCAAGGTCCCACTTGCGCAAATTAGGAGATTTCGGCCGTTGATCTTTGCAATCTACGGTCAGTATCTCTTAATTCGTGCAAGTGGGACCTAGCCCGCGGTAAGGAGGGTCGATTCTTTCGTTCTTTCTTTACCGTTCGAGCCTCTGCCTCTGTCGGCTGCTATTCTGGCGGGACCAGTTTGATTCTGCAAGTGCGCGGAGGGAGGCGGGGCGAGGGGACAGAGTAGTCGTTGTAGTCGTTGTAGTCGTTGTAGTACGGTAGTACGGTAGTAAAGCTGGGGTGAGGGAACCGTTCCTTTGCCCGCTGGCAAGCTACCCTCTTCCCCCGAACACAACGCACCCTCATTCTGACTGTATCTGGCCGGAAACACGCCATGTATACTTTCCTTTTCAGGGTGCGTTATGTTCGGGGGAAGATGGTAGTTCCGGTACTCCCCATTGCAGAAAAGACAAAAAATATGGCGGTGTATGTTCCCATGTACAAGGGAAAATTCATTCTCATTTTGCGCATTTGGTGAGTAGTCCAGCGAGGCCCTCTGGGGATTCGAAGGGATCCGAAGGGATTCTCGGGGCCAAGTCCCACTTACCCTGATTCTTTATTTCTGGCCGCTGATCATCTTCATCGACGGTCTCCCAAAAAAAAGAAATAAAAATAAAATTAATCGACGGTCAGAAGTTGAGAATTCGGGTAAGGGGGACGACCTGGCCCTCGTTGTCGTTTCTTCCTTCCTTTTCTCTCTTTTCTTTTTTTACCTTTTCTCTCTTTTGTTGCTTCTTTTTCCCCCGCAAAACTCGCACTAGGTTGCACCATCTTAAACGTATCTGACCGGATTTACGGCCCGACTTGTAAGCATCTGGCCCCGATTCCGTCCAAAACATATGTAAGAAAGCACTACCGGGGGCTAGGTCCCACTTACACGAATTAAGCGATATTAACAGTAGATAGCAAAGATCAACGGCCACAGTCTCTTACTCCGTGCAAGTGGGACCTTGCCCCGGTAGTGTGAGTATGCTCTAAGTCAGGGGCCAGGTCCCACTAGCAGCGTTGATTTTCCTCAACGCCCGAATCTGGACGCGTTCGTGGACATGGGCGGTTGAGAAAACTCAACGCGATTTCTGCACATATCCACAGACACGTCCAGATTCAGGTGAAGAAACTCAACGCTGCTAGTGGGACCTGGCCCCAGATCTAGGGCCAGAAGACGTTGAACTGAAATGAGATGAACGAGCTGATAAAAACAAACAAACAAACAAACAAACAAGCGCAAAGTTTGTTTATGTACTGTGACGGCGGAGCATATGACGAGGGATAATAATGAAACAAAACAAAAATTGACGGCGCTAATATTATATACTCAAATACTCAAATTTCAACGTCGGTACACCATGTGAAACGGTGCAGAAGCCGTGCGGCGAGGGAGCGCGGGGGCGGGAAAGGAAAAACGGCGAGCGACATTTGGTAGTGGTGGAGGGGGAAAACGAAGCCCGCTGCTCAGCGGTGGGCGACTGGTCATCTAGCGGAAGTCGGTCGCTCAGGAAACCCCGAGCTCACTGTGGGACAGGTAAGACTGTCGCACACAACAACGAAATCATGCCACCGCGATCGTTTCCCTCATTTGGCCGTTGAACGGGCGGGAGCGGGCAGGACTTCACACACCAGAGGGGTCCCCCGCCCACCCACCTCTCCTTCCCCTCTCCGCTCTCCCCTCTTCCCTCTCCCGCCTCCGTCCTCGTCCAATTCTCCGTCTGTCCGTTCCTCTCTCTCTTTCTCTCCCGTCTCCCCTCCCACTTTTTTTTGGTTCCCCGCCCTTTCCCGCGAATGCCGCGCTAATCTGTTTTATTCGAATTATTGTTTTCTTTTTTTACAGTTTTCAGTTTCCGTTGCTGCAACGGCTACCTTCTGCCGTCACGAAGGTGGTATCTGAGTGTTGAGTACACTCTTCTCTTCGCATGCGCCACTCGCCTGTACAGCTACGGGTAGTAGTCGTCCTTTGTGGAGGATCACCTCCTGTAGTCCCACTCTCCCACTCTCCCACCTCCCTCCTCCCTCCTCCCTCCTCCCTTCCACTCCTCCCTCCCTCCTCTAGTGGAGTTCTATTCTCCCTTTTGCCGTTTCTCTCTTTCCCTCTCTGCCCCCTGTCTCCCGCTCCCTTCCCTCTCTCCATTCTCCCTCCCCTCTCTCTCTCCAAGTCCGTTCTTTCTTCTCTTCCAGAGTTCAACGTGTCGAATCCGCGAACGCACCTCTCTCTCTCTCTCTCTCTCTCTCTCTCTCTCTCTCTCTCTCTCTCTCTCTCTCTCTCTCTCTCTCTCTCTCTCTCTCTCTGCATGTCTCCCTTTCTGGCTATCTCTCTCGATGTCTGACGGTCATCGGCTGTTTTTATCGTGGGTCTTTTCTTCCTCTGCTGCCTTTTCTTTCAGGGGTCTTGTCGTTCTGACTGACACGTGTCTGCCAGCTGGCATGCCGACGGGGTAATGAGCGATCGTGCGGTGCTTCTCCTTTCTGTAGGAGAGAGTCGCGATCCCGATCGCTTGCAGCGAGCATGGCGATGGCGTGCAGCGGTGGCGGCGGCGTCGTGTTGGGCAGGAGTTCCATGGCCGCGGCGGCTATGGTGAGGTCAGGCTGTAGCGAAGCCATCTTCGGCCACGTAGTAAGGCCGGCCATCTCCATGAGTGACGATGTAGTCTTTCCGTCCATTTTTTCTTCTTCTTCTTCTTCTCCTCCTCCTCCCCCTCCTCGTTCTCCCTCTCCTCAACTTCCTTCCTCTTCTCCCGTTCCCTCCTCTTCTCTCCCTCCTTCCTCTCTTCTCCCTCCTCGTCCTGTTCCTGAGCTTATCATCAGGATTCCATCAAGAGTGGAAGTTCTCTGGCCTCTAGAGTCCGTCTATTACAGAGGAACAGTCGTACAGCACATCAAGTCCTCTGGCCGCTACGTGTTGCTCTATGATGGCGGTGATGTCGAGAAGATTGATCTTTCTGTAGAAACCTTTCGAGTGCTTGGCGAGGATGATCCTTCCTCTCAAGAGACCAATCCCGGTGACGAATCTGCTTCGCGAATCGCCCTTCGCCTTGGATGGACTTACTGCCCAAGGTGAGTGATCCCCCCCGCTTCGTCTCACAAATCGCTGTCTCTCTCTTCTCTTCTCTTCTCTTTCTTAATTGTCTATTCTGTTATCAAGTATATGCCTCTGCCCTTGCTATCTCCTGTACTCCCATCCTTCGTTTACTTGACTGTAATCATTATTAGGTAATCTTGGTACTGCGCGCCAGACAACCTCGTGCCGCTGTATTACTGTAGTTCTCTCACTCTTGGAGTGTTGTGGGGGGCCAACCTAGTTGGGGGGCTAAGCTAGTGGGGCTTTTAGCCCCCCACGTGGTAGATTGGGGGTTTAGACTTTGGTTTCGAGTACGCACTGATTGCCGAAATTTGCCGCCATTCAAACTGAACATCTCAAGACCGCATTGTTTGTGGCCACCTTTTTTTTTTTCTTTCTTTCAAAAATTGTGGCCACGTTTTTTTTTTTTTTTTTTTTTTTCAAAAATGGTGGCCAAGTTTTTAAGTACCCCCATCTCCAAGGGAGAGGGGGGGGGGAGGAGAAGGGGGTAGGCTTGGTTTCGAGGATGGGCACTGATTGCCGCCATTCGAACTGAACATCTCACGGCGGCATTGTGGCCACACGTTTAAAAGCTTTTTTTTTTTTTTTTTTTTTTTTTTTAAGTTCTCAAAGACGGAAAATTAAACTTCAGCCGCTACCCTCTTTACCCCCCGAACATAACACACCCTCATTTTGGCTGTACCTGACCGGAAATGTAGCTTGTATTCAATCATTATCAGGGTGCGTTATGATCGGGGGAAGACGGTAGTGGGACTTCTTAGCCACCGGACGTAATTCTTCTTCCATTTCCGCTTTCTTGCGCGCTGTTGCTGTGTATGACTTCACTGTTTTTGCACTCTGTCCTAACGGTAGTGATGCCGTCTCAATTTTACTGTGTATAGCTTCAGAAATCTGCTCGCATGTGCTATTGATCTCGTCTTTTTTTTTTTTTTTTCGCGATTTTCTTTTCTTTTCTTCGGAGTCGTTTCATAAATTTGTACGGAATGCCAAGACGACAGCATAATCACGCCGCCGCCAATCCAGCCTGCCAGCCTCATGCGGCCGCGTCGGCTTTTTTTCCTCTCGGTAGCACAAAGAACTTGCACTGCGCTGTTGCTGTCTTCTTACTCTGAATTATTCTCTTCATTCTCGTACTTTACTGTTGTCTTCTCGTTGTAAAAGAAGTGATGCCTTAAAAAAAAAAAAAAGTGATGTCAGGACCATCCGCGCGACTTTTTCACGTCGGTCCTCTCTCTGGAGTGTTTGGAAGTTGGCAAGTGCTCGTCTTTTCTTTCTTCTCTCTCGCTCTTGTTCTTCTTTATTTTTTTAAAATTTTATTGCTATGTATGGTTTCATAAATTTGCTCTCTGTGCTCTTGTTCTTTTTTTTTTTTTTTTTTTTTTTTTTTTTTTTCTGCATTCTTAGTGCTGAGTATGTGCTGGGAAATTTGCTCACTGTGCTATTGCGAGTCGAACAATAAAATTTAAAGAAAAGAAAAAAAGGTTAAAAGCGAGATTTACTCACGCGAAGAAGGTAAGAGCGCTCGTCCGCGAACACACACAGGGTTAAAAGTGCAGTCGTAGTTGAATAGCGCTCGAATACAGCGCATGGTGAAAATGCGGAACGTACACTCTGTGCTGTTGCCTACGCCCTTGCCGTGTCTTTTTTTTTGTTTGTTGTGGCCCGATGGCCCACGGATCAGATATTAAACTGATCTCAACAGAATCTTCACTCGATCTTAGCCAAGAGGCCGAGAAAGGTGTAAGTTTCGCATTTTCACCCTGTGTTCCAGTCGTGCTCTCTCGATCTACGGCTGCACTTTCACCCTGTGCTTGTTTGCGGATGAGCGCTCTTACCTTCTTCTTAATTTATGTACTCCTGCTCTAGTCAAGGTACTCAAGGTACTCAAGGCACTCAAGGTAATCTTGCTCTTAAGAGAGAGAGAGAGAGAGAGAGAGAGAGAGAGAGAGAGAGAGAGAGAGAGAGAGAGAGAGAGAGAGAGA